ACTGCTGAATATTTAGCCAGGAAGTTTTAGTTAACATTCTCGAATCTTCAGGGCCACAGAAAGCCTCCATGGACCTGCAGAGTTCATCATTTTGTGTGGGTATTTACACCTCCACAGAACAAGGGAAAAAACGCAGAGTTTGAGAGGGTCTAAATCCCTGCATGTGCTGTGAGATGGGAGAGGCATGAGCCTGACCCTTTGCTGAATTAATAGTGACAGCAGATCAACAACCAAATGGTACTGTACACAGCAACACAGGATCCAACCCCTCCTGGTCTGCCCAGGAAAGCTGTGAGGAAGCTGCAGCCAGCATTTCCCCACCACTCACCTCTGCTAACCTAATCTTGCAGAGCAAGAGGAACAGCACATCAGGTTTGCAGCTTGGAGATCAATGCCACAACTGACCAGGATGTTGACTAAAGAAAGAATCTTACCCAAAACAATTCTGGAAATCCTTTTCATAACGTTTGCTGTCAGTGAAACGAGAACTGGAAGACTTAGCTCTGCAAATACAGCAGCCCTCTATACTCCGATACATCTTCGGTTTGTGAAAGCCAAACATCTTTTCCTCCCAGCTGTAGCCTATGAAAACAAACAGAAACCGGTGTTAGTTACTGCTGTTAGATACTGAAAGAAAAACCTGGGCAATTCACTGGACAAACCAACAGTAAATTTTAATTCAGATGGGAAACTGCTAGATTAGGGCATAGTTTTTTTTAGCCCGTGTTGCCTCAGAAGAGCACATGCACCTAGAATGCACCTATTAAAACACAGATATATAATTAACAGCTGAAATATTAAGCAATACCCAGCAAGACTCATAATAAGCTCATTTACTGCCAAATCTACTCTAAGGGCACATCTACAACAGCACAATCAAGAGTTGTGAATGCAGCTGCCTTGGCTAATGAAAGCCTTATGTATGTGACAAAACAGGCTGCAGGACAGGCGTGTGAACCTGCCCGAGCCCCTGGATAAGGAGCTGGCAGCTGAACTCTGGGTCACTGGAACTACCTTGTCATCACCACCACTGGTGTTGGTTGGAAACACCCCTGCCAAACTTTGCTGAAAGTGAGTAGGAGTCATTTTAAACGAGCTGCAGTCATAGCTCTAGGTTGTAGGGCAGACATACCTGAAAAGCCGCTCTAAAAACAGCCGGGTGGAGTCCCACCCAGCCCTCAGTGGCCAAGGCTGCACTGCAGGACCCAGGAGCACTTCTGTATTCTCAGGCCTGGGTGAGCATCCCAGCTCCCTGTCAGCACACGCTCCGCTCTCGCCTTCCCCACCCTGCTTTCCATGGGAAGGAAACCGAGCTAGGAAAGGGCCAGGGAGCAGGACCCTGCGGCACATCTCAGCATGTGCCTACCCACACAGCCCCACCAATGATGCCGGAACTCCAGTTGCAGGGAAGCCCTTTTTAACCACCAGCTCTGCAGACTCAGCACCAGCACAGAAAGCCAAAAATGCCAATGCTGCTCTCAGATCTGCCTATTCTTTCAGTACACCCGGGCTGGGATTTGCCATCAGAGCACGTAACATACAGTGGAGCTATTTTCCAGGCAGAAAATTTCCAAGTTAGTTACAAGTGGATTTACTGCAGTCACCACAACAAAGACCCCTTCAACACATGATGTCCCCACCACCAAACCAGTTCTCCCCAGGTGCCAGTTACTCCCCAGTGCAGACTCCTGTTAGGCACAGTCTGACACAGCATGAGAATCTGTCAGAGCAAACAGAGTTCCCACAGAACAAACCAGCAACTGAGCAGAGCTGGTGCTTTCCTGGCACTGGGCCTGGACACATAGCAAGTCCTCACAGGCCACACAGCATCTGTCTCATAACACAGGCAGGGACTGTTCCAAGATGTTCTCTTTGGAACAGACCCTGGTGCAAGGTTTGCCTCAACCACCTGCTGCAGGGAGTGAGTGGCTACCTCTGCTGCTTATCACACACTAACAGCTCAGAGGAAGGACAGGCCTCTGGCTGCAGGATGCTCCACGAGAAGAGGTTCCCACTCCTGAGAACTTCTGCCTTTAAAAAAGTAAAATTAGATGGAGCCATGCAATTAACTCAACACTTCCCTCTCTTCCCTTAACAAAATGCCAAAGAAAACTACCTGGTCTACCCACAAATACTACTGAAAGACCCAACAGGCTCAGGTAAGACTTTCAGGAAAGCAGTATCTCCATCATTTGTGGGCAAGTCTGGTGAAAGGGAACTCCCAGTCAATTCTCAGTCCCATGGACTGCCAAGTCTTAGTAACCCAACTTGGGTTACTGGTCAACATACAGAGGTAAAAACACATTTCCCCTACCCCGAAGGGGAAGATCAGTAGCATGTCAGCACTGCAAAATAAATGCATAAGGCTTCTGAGAACAAGAGAAAGGCAAAAATTGGTATCTAACATTGTTGGTTAAAACTCTTAAACAAGGAACCCATACATGCTTACATTTCAGTCTAGCACATTATAATACAATACCACTTGGTGCCCACTGAGGTTGTGTCTCCCTGCAATTATTACTGCACAAACATTTAGAAGAAGTCAACTCTCCATCAAGCTTGTCTTGACCTTGCAGAGCCTGTTGATGGCAAGGGACTTGCACAAGCTGAATGCTCCAGGCTCAGGAGATGGAGTGGACAGGGTTTTCCTTCTCTCTAGTCCCAGCTCCTGCTGTTTGCCACAGGCTTGAAGTGCTGAATTTCTTTCTTCACATTTGCAGCATAAGGAGCTCACCTAAGGCTACATTCTCCCGAGGGTGACTTGTGCAAATATCCAGCAAAGTCACCCCAAATGCTGACAGGTTTCTTAGGAGATACACTGCTCCCTCTGTTAGTACAGCATTGGCCTGGAAGCCAGGAGCAGATACAGTAAAAGAAGGTACCCAACTAGTGACCTGCTGAAGGGGTTTGTTGAGGGATGGTTATACTTGGAACTACTCTCAGCTTCTGCTGGATGTATTTTCAGGGACATGTAGCAAACAAATGCACTGCCAAATCAGGTCAGCATCCCTGACCTGTCAAAACAAACAAACAAGTGTGTCTAGGCAAACACTTCGAGTTTCTTAGCATCAGATGTGCTTCTTCAAGAGACGCTCACTTGAAGATGCTCTGTTTAACAAGTCTCTGGAGATTCAACAGCATGCTCACCTGGGAATTTGCAACTTCCAAACAGCAATTTTAGATGTTGTTTGACTACCACAACATTAAGTCTGTGGTTTGGTGCTTTTCTTTAGCAAGTCAATGACTAACTGCAGACACAAGGTCCATCAGTGCTGCAAAACGTAAGCAGCAAGAACATCTTGACTGCTACAGGGCATGAAACAGAGCTCTTATCAAGAGTGTGATTTACTTTCTAACCTGGTTTCTTCCAGAAATTCAGGCACTGATAAGATGAACTCTGTCACCAGCTGGTATTTACACCACAGTAGAGCAAGCTGCATTAATGTTCTGGCAAAGGCTGGCATCAAACACACATATTCTGAAAATATTTTGGTTTGCATAGTTCTGCCATTCTCACAGGAGCAGCCTTTCAACACCATCCTTCAATAGAAGGGAAACTAGTGCCATCTGTTTCCCACTTGATGAATGGTCAGCGATGGTGTTACTATACATCATGCCTGAATGGGGAAGAGCAAGTAGCAAACCCACAAGTTGAACAGATTTCTCTGACAACTGCATCCAAGCGCAGTTATAAATGGAAGGAGTCAGTCCAGTTACACATTTAATCCTAAACAGTTGCCATTTGACCATTATACACTAAATATTCTGTCAGCTGGAGAGCTTATTAGCTAATATGTACTTCGAAGTACAAATGACTGCACCCTTTAAAAGGTTTAACTTCAAAGCTTTGCAATTTAGATCTCAAATTAGAACCAGGGAGTTAGACTGCCAGCTACCCTAGCACCTGAATCCGAGCTGTGGAACCTTAAACATGTGAAATTTGGGGCAGATAAAAAGATGGCAAGTAGGAACTAAGTGACTTGCACACAAGTTAAAAAGCATTACACAACATAATTTTGCCAAATCTAAGCATGTTCTTAATGTTATTTAAGCTTGTTATTATCCGCCCAATTCAAGCATGTTATTAAAATATGCATCCTTTAAATCAGCAGTTGCACAGGAGTGGAAAGGACAGCTCACCAGCAAAGAATCAGAAATCCTAGTGGAGCCTGGCATTATGCAGAAATGGAGATTTACTTAGTAGTGAAGCAGTATTCCCCCAATTCAGGGGAAAAGTCCTCCTCTTCCTCCCTCGTCTCCATCTGCAGCTTCTCCTTGCAGAAGTTGCTATTCCCCCAAGTTCTGCTTTAGCAACTTGAATGGACTCAGAAAAGACTCCATGAAAAAAGTTCTCTCTATTCTTCTGTCTCACTTTTGGAAAAGCAGCATCAAAAATAGAAACCTGACTTGAAAAAAATTTGAGTGGAGAAGAGAATAGTAAAAAGTAGGTAGAGGAAAGAAAACCCACACCCTGCTTATTACCTTTGTGAAAGGCTGGTACAAAGCAGCATGCATCACACATGTGCAAAAATGGTTTCATGCCTTTGTTACCTGTCAGGACCAGAATGCGGTGCTCAGTTTTCTTTGCAAAATTTAATTTGATGATCTACATTAAAAGGAGGCATTGCTTCAGATGCTCATTAAGTTTTTAAGTGAGGGAAGAACTTCTGAACTCTAGATTTTAAAGTAAGCTGAGCCACTTCCATTTGCTTTTCCAGATTCCTTCTGCATTCTTTCTGATCACCCAAGAAGAATAAAAACCTTTTATAATAGAAAGGATGAAATTCCTAGAAGGCAGGCATGTCTCCCTTTGTAACACAATTACCAGGCCACTTGGAATGAACATGCTTACTTGCTTCCTGCAAAAATGAAACACTCCCTGAAGTTATGGGAGAGCAGAGGGATGCCAGTCCACCAACTCAATACCTTCCCCTCTTCCCATCCGACCCTTATCATTCACCCTTTGTGCAACCCCAAAAATGCCAGAATGTTGTCAGAGAGGAGAACAATACTTTCATTTCCCCCCTTGTGCATACAAAACAGATTTGGCACAGCCTCCCTGAAGTTGTACTACAGGAAAATATGATCTAGCCTACATATGTTGATGCACCCGGTTCCTGTCAGTAAAAATCTCACAATTATCATCTTTACAACATTTCATTGTAACTCCTAGCCAAAAGGGTACCCTTTTTTTTTTGGGGAAGAAACAGAATCCTTAAAAAGAAACAGAATCCTTAATATGGAAAGAATATACGTGCTCTGGCTTTTGCATCTGCAAGTGCATACACCCAGGCACATGCACACACATGAAAAACGCTTCCAAAACTGTCTACAGCGCCAGAAGCAGTTGCTTGTCTCGCCATAAATTCTTGGGCCCGTCCTTCTGCTGAAATAAACTGCTATACCTCCACTGAAAATCAACTGTAGGACAGAGAACTGTACATCAGCAGCGGAGCTGATCTATGTCAGAGTCTCAACATAAACATACCTCCCCCCTGAGTTTACATGCTGAAAAAACCCCCACTTGGAACAGAAGTTAAAATTGGACCCTCAAGAAAACATTTTCAGATGCACATA